GATGGCAGTGAGTGAGTGAGTTAGTAAGTAACTGGCAGTGCCGACTTGACACTTGTTGAGTCCATGAAGAAGGATAGGAGAGAAAGAGATAAATCCTCCGAGCATGGGCTTAGGGTATCTGGTCAGAAGGAATGCTCCTCACTCAGCATGCAGCCTGGTCTGACAGCCTACTGTTTGCCAAGGGCAAACCCCAAATGAAGAGCACCTGTCATAACTGCTAGGGCCCTAAATGCTGTATATGTATGTGTTGAATGGGGAGGGAGCAACCCAGGAATTCCAGTGCTAGGTCTACACCCAAAACGGAAAGCAGGAACACAAACAGAAACCTAGACAGCAACGTTCACTGCACCATTTCACAACAGCCAGAGGGTGGAAACAACCCGAATGTCAGTCAGTACATATGGCTGGGGAATACTCCTCAGCCGCAAAGAGGAATGAGGTCCTGATGCGCACCACAACTCGGATGGACCTTGAGAACATCATGCTCATGAAATAAGTTCGTCGCAAAAAGGACAAGTACGCGTGATCGCCCTTACGTGGAAGAAGCAAATATACAGAAACCAAAGATTACAAGTGATGACCCTGGGTGGGAGGGCGGGGGCACTGAGTTTATGTTAATGGTGATGGAATAATTTGGAAAAGGATAGTAAGACCGTAATCAGTATCACTGAGTTATACATATAGAAATTGTCGAATTGGTGAATGTTTTGTTGCTTATCTTTTCACCACAATTTAAAAAGAAAAAAAAAATAATAAAGAATGGGGTAGGAGGAAGTCTGGTACTATGGTTTCCTTCACAAGAGAAACAATTGCTTCCTCTTAAAACCACAGAAGAAGGGCAAGGCAATACACAATATGGGGCAGGGTGGCACAATGTGACTGAGGCAAAGGAAGATACTGAGAGGAGGACAAGAATATGGGGCCTCCGGTGGCACTATGAATAAGGGAGCTCTAGTGGCACTGTGATTAAAGCATTGGGCTGCTAACCAAAAGGTCTGCCGTTCAAACCCAGAAGCTGCTCAGCTTCCATAAAGATTGATGTCCACTTCAACTTCTTCATCTGTAGAATGGGGTGGTAAGCTTTGTCTCTGGGAGTTGATTAGAGTTACGTGGCCCCAAGGACAACACTCAGTGACTGGGGATGTTCACACTGCTGCTATTGTTTATGGAGACTCCAGGTGGACTGTTTCCATAATGATTTACAGTGTTGGCTACCCTTATGGGGGTTGCTATGAGGGAGAAGTGACTCGACAGCAGTGAGTCTGTTTTGGTTTGTTATGGTAACTACTATAACATAGACGATCCTGCAGCAATAGTATCAACAAACAATAATCTATGGATGGATACACAGGTAGATATGTATGCTAAAGGGGTGTGGGAGGGTTAAGGGAGCACACCCACCCACAGATACAGGTTTGGTTGTACATACTGCTACATGCATAACTGTAGGTGCTACATGCATATTAATATAGACAATATAGCACACGCAGCACAGTCAGGGAAACTTCTCAGGCATAACACAAACACCTCACGAGATGAAGTTCTAGGCTTGAAGGCAAAGGACCATAGACTCGGGGACATCTACGTCAATCGGCACAACACAGCT